CTATCCTACTTCTCCTATCCTACTCCTAGGTTTCTGTTCATCATGATCGCCATGAGTTACTTAAATGTCTGATCCTGAACTTTTTTATCTGATGCGAATTTTGACGCATTCTTTTTACTTTTTTACCTCTGAAAATGATTCATAAAAAAAATCTTTCTAAAGCAAGGCTTACTCAAAAAAAAACGTCAATGGACAACTTGTGAAAAATTGTTCATTCTAACTTACCTTGAAAAAGTTCCAGGTGCCTCTATTCGTGGAATGGCTGACAAGTTTCACTTAGAGCCCAAACAAATTCAGGATTGGCGTAATAAAACAACAACTAATGCTCACCCAACCCCACATAAAACGTCTTCATGTTGGTCCATGTCTCCGTTATCCTGAAATTGAAGACGAGCTTATAAAATGGATTAAAAATCTTCGTCGCGAACAGAAAGTTGTTAGTCGATCAATGATTCAAATAAAAGCATTCACCTTGGCCAAAAATATGAAATATACCACTCAATATCTGATGATTGGCTCCTTTAAATGGAGTAATAAGTAACTGAATAGCTTTATGCATTATTTTAGACTTAGTAATCGTCGAAGAACAACCGTCGTCCAAAGATTACCAAAGGATCTTGAAGAAAAATGACAAGAATTTGTTAGTTTTGTTCACCACAGATGACTTAAACATGACTATCCTCCATCTTTGATAGGAAACATGGATGAAATGCCACTCACCTTTGATCTGCCAAGCAACACCACTGTAGATGAAACAAGAAATAGAACAATTTCCATCAAAACCTGTGATTACGAAAAATCAGAATTTACTGTTGTTCTTGCTTGTATGGCAGATGAAAAAAAGTTACCACCTATGATTATTTTCAAACTCAAAAATGTTCCACATCTTATTTTTCCTTCAGGAGTAATAATTCGGGCTAATAAAAAGGGTTGGATGAATACTGAAGAAATGCTTTATTGGACAGAAAATGTGTGGAATAGACGTATTATTTCAAGAAATCCACGATCTTTATTAGTAATGGATTCTTTTAGAGGACATCTCATTCCAGTTGTTAAAAGCTGATTTATTGAAAAAAACACAGACCTGGCCATTATTCCTGGTGGGTTAACCTCAAAAGTTCAGCTGCTCGATGTGTCAATCAATAAATCTTTTAAAGCAAAAGTTAGTATCTCATTTTTTCTTTTTTTTTTTGTCCACCCTCCACACTTTCATGATTATTTTTCTTGTTCACTATTTGTTATCCATCCTCCACACCCTTACAATTACAAATCTTTCTTGTTCGCTATCCATCCTCTATATCTTTAACATCATATTCGTTGTCATGATAACTAATTATTTTTTATTTAATTCAGATCAGAGCGATTTATAATGATTGGATGGCAGAAGAAGTAAAGACTCTGACACCTACTGGTCGTATCCAGCATCCCGCATATAATGTTATTGCAGAATGGGTTAAAGTGGCATGGGAGACAATTGATCCACAACTTATTCAGCGTTCTTTCAAATGTTGCGGTATATCTGTTGCTATGGATAGGTCAGAAGAAAACCTGATTTTTGACTATGATAGAGTTGAGATAACAAAATTGCGAACAAGTAATTATATTTATGGCAATGACGAAGGTGATGATGATGAAGGTGGTGATAATGATGATAACAAAGATGATGATGATGGTGATGATGAGGGTGGCAATGATAATGACAAGGGTGGAGATGATAATTTTGAAGAAGGATCAAGTACCCAAAAAGAGAAGATGGTTAATATAGAATTTTTAGAATCCTATATAGAAACAGAAAATTTAGAGGAATTTGAGAGTTATTATACATCGCAAGAAATGAGTAATTTTATTAATCAATGGGACTGATTTGTAAAATTTTCAAATTTGTTCTAATAAAAACTTTATTTTTTATCCAGATCTGATACAAATTATTTATTTAATGACTATTTTATCTTATACCCGGGTCTTATACTAACCACACACTTAATATTCTGGTAATATACCAGGTCTAAATCAGGGGAGATCTATTACTGAGGGGATATCTTACAAGATGATTTACGGTAAGTTACTTATTTGATGTTCTATACTTTAATAATTTTTAGCGCATTATTACGATATTATTACTAATGATCATATTTTTACTTTTAAGGGATCGATTAAGCAAATAATAAATCAATAAGAATTTCCTGACAGATATAAATATTGTGGTGGTAAGAAATATTTGTCACTAAATTCAAAATGGAAGATAATACTAATATTACAACCGCTGCAAATACTCAAATACAACCTCTTGCATCAGGATCAAATACATTTCCTTCCTTACAATTTTTTAGTTTAGAATCAGTTCCTACATCAACTACAATATTCTCCTTAGATGAAATGCAGCATTTACCTACTCAGCTTTCTGCTACTCCTCCTCATCTTTCTCCTCCTCATCAATCTACTTCTCCTCCTCATCAATCTACTTCTTCTCCTCATCCTCCTCATTGATCTCCTTCTCCTCCTTATCGATCTCCTTCTCCTTATCATCGATCTACTTCAGGTGCACATAGTTCACGCAGACATACAAATAGTTCACGCAGACGTACGGATAGTTCACGCAGACATACAGATAGATCGCACCAACGTCAAACTACCAATTATTCGTCAGAAGATGCCGTTACAAATTTAAGGCATATTCAGCAAAGTTTCGAACGGATTAACAGAAGAGATTTAATATAATTGTCTCAAAAATATTTAATATCGCTTATTTATTTATTTGTTAAATAATTAGATTTGTGTTCTAACTGTTCACGTCAGAATCGTAAAATTCAGGATCATCATGATTGTGAATATCAATGTCAGGAATGCGAACGTCAAGAACATGAATGTCAGGACCACAAACATCAGGAACGCGAATGTCGAAATAGTTCAAGTAGAGAATATTAAATTGGAAATATCTTTAGAAATTAACAATGATAATATATTTATTTTTTATTAATTTAGGT